CATGGGTGATGGTGTTTACGAAGATGTTCGTTTATTGCGTTTTTAATATTTGACCCATTGTCTGATACCACAGTTAATATTTTATTTGCTATATTCCACTCATTAAAAATATTTATAAGTGTAGCGGCTATATTTTGACCAGTGTGTCTGTCAGAAACGTCTTTAGTTGCAATTACTGGTGAATATAATTGGTCGTCAAAAATAAAATGGCACGTCACTGTTATATATGATTTATTGGAATCGGATGTCCACATATCTGTCGTTATTGATAAATCATTTACATTTAGAAGAATAGATTTTATTTTAAGGAGTATAGCATTATATAGCAATAAATCCAACGTTTTCTACTAACGAGAGTGGTTGATAATCAGCGACAATCATTTTAATTAAAGATTTATTAATAGCCTTAATTTCAGAATCACTAAGTTCATTTATTTTTGTCGAACCGTATAATATATACGTGTAAAATAACACGGTACGTAACAATATATAATATAATTTAATTTATAGGAATACAAATTAAAAACACAAGTTTAGGTTCAAATAAAATTTGGCGTCCTTTAAATTGTAAATACCTAACAATCCTAAATAAAAAAAGATGTATGAATTGTAAAAAACTTTTAAATAAATTTCGAGTTTATAAATGGAAACGTGAAACACCAAATAAAGAAACCAACAATAAATTATAGGATATACACTTACTCCAATTCGACTATCTTCTTTTAAGGGAATTCAAAAAGCAAAATATAAATTGAAGAAAATAAATAACAGGTATAATAGTCAATCTATAATTATTTTAATTTGTAATTTATTACTCAGATAGCTGGATACTTCTCAGTATCATATTTCACATAAGGTATACAATTTACATAAATAGTTAAATTAAAACTACCTAACAGTTTATAAATTATTTATTTCTCAGATCTCCAAGTGCATATAAATTTTAAAGAGACCAAAATGTTATTCCTCTTCCAAGCCCTCGTACTGTGAGAACATATTTATCATGTATTAAGTCTCCTTGTGGATTCGACAATCAGTTTTTTCAGTTATTTAAAAAAAAAATAACTATGTTATCCCAAGAACAAAAACATAGTATTTTGTTGTTCGATGAAATAATACTCCGTGAAAGTATTGCTGTTAAATCATCCAACCTAGGCTATATTGGTTTCGAAAATTTTGGAAACGAAATACAGACGTCAAATACTTAAGCTAACCATGGTTTAGTATTTATGTTTCAAAGTTTGTCAATTTTTGCCAACCTGTTGCTGTTTTCACATCTACTGGCACAATGAAAGGTATATTCTCTGTAACACATTAATATAGATTTATAAGTATTAAATTATTATTATACATTTTTTTTAAGTATAGTACTTGCACAATTAATTGCCAAAGCAATTTCTTTACTGGAAAATAGTGGTGCAAAAGTGGATGGTATTGTTTCCGATGGTGCACAAACTAACAGAAGACTTTGGGCTGAATTAGGTATTAGTAGATCTATAAATAATTTCAAAAATTAATTTCAAAATTCAATGGATCAGAGTCGAACCATTTATGTATTTTCTGATGTTCCTCACTTAATTAAGAATGTAAGAAACAGGCTCAATAACAAAATTACATTAAAAGTGAGTAAATAATTAGAATTTCTTTTTAACATAATATTTGAAAAATATATTTTGATTTGATTGATAGGTACATCCAGATAGACCTCATATAAGTTAGTCACATTACCAAAAGTTTTAGGAATTGGATGTATCATAAAATACAGTTGTTCCTACACGTGTGTGTCCTAAAATTACAGAAAGGCATTTAAAACTGGACACTTTTTCAAAAATGACTGTAAAATTAACAACTCAAGTAATTTATCATTTGTATATCTATATTATTTAATAATGAATACCTAATTACATATTTCAAAATTGTGATTATTTACTCTGTTAAAGTTATTTAGTGATTCTATGGCAAAAGAAATTAGCTTTTATAGAGATCATGTAAAAAATGAAGAACTTAAGAACAGTATTGAAACAGAAAAGTTTACAAGTATACTAAATTCAGTTTTTGATACTCTTAATAGGAAGTATGCAACCGAAGGCATAAGAAAAAGAAGCAATGATTTTGAGGCAAATTAATTTAATATTTAAAATTTGAAATTGTTATGCTTATATAAATCTGGATATAAAGGTTTTAAAGACTACACTTGTTTGGGTTGATGATTGGGAAACTAACTTTATTAATGGTAAAATAACTTCAGACGAGTTTCTTACAAAAAGTACATCTGAAGGATTACGGGTCAACAATTGAACTAAGTAACTACCTTTTAGATGAAGTTAAATTTAAATATGTTCTAACCAATAAAATAAATCAAGATCGACTTGAAGTAATTTTTTAATTTTTTTAAGAAAAAATAAAATATTGAAACTTACATAATATTTATTTTAAACTTTTTGTTAGCAATTTTTTGGTATGGTTAGTCAGGCTACTGGTCCAAATGAACATTCAACAACACCTACGTTTTTACAATTATATAAACTTTTGTCAATATATTCGGTATTAAAACCTCCAAAAACAGGAAATTGTCAGATTCTTGATTCAAAAACACCTAAAATAACATTGACTGATTTAAAAGATTTATTTAAAAGCAATCAATCAGAAAGACAACTAAAAATAGAAAAAATAATTAATATTATTGATAAGATGATGAATGTGATCCATTAGATGCTGCAGTTATTGATATTATACCAATTCATAATAATAATTGTGAAATTCAAAAAGTTACAGCCAAAGAATGTGTTATATATTATATATGTAGTTTTATGTGCCGTAAAATAGTTCTTAAAAGAAATACATGTTTGAATTGTCTTTCTGCTTTAAAGAGTAAGTTTATGTCACATTTAAAGATATATCTTTAAATTTGGTTTACATTAAGATTTGTAATAAATTTATTTCTTGTTTTATTAATTGTATTAATTTACCTTTTTCTCAATACTGTTTTATTATTCTAGAATCTGATACAAGACCAGAGGCAGTTTTAACAAACTTGAAGTCGAAAAGATTCTTGATACATCTAAATTATACAGTTTTTACATTAGTTTCAACAATTGAAGAAGGGTTTGTACAATACTGTGATGTTCCAGAGGTGTTTGATAAGACTGTATATTTTTTATTACAACATTATCAGAAATGACTAAAATTTCCTTGTCTAGAACATGAAAGTGAAATGCTTACTTTTATAATAGATTTTTATATTACAATGCGGATAAAACAGTACAGCAGAAGTCTGAACAGAGAAACCAAAAAATGAAGTTCAAAGAAAAAAAATTGTCAAAACTTTGAATTCATTAATAATGATATATTCATCCTACTTTATTTTAATTATAACTTGTTTTAATAATTAATAATTAAACAGAAAAAACGTATTATACAATTATTTAATGGTTCGTTAATAATTAACAATTTTCATGATTTGGTTTTGCTTTATTAAAAATAGTATTCTCAATTATCATTCTCATTATTTTCAACAAAATAGAAATGTTATTTATTATCAACAGGTAGCGCTGAGGTTCAAAAAGGAAAATCCCTCCGTACACCGGCTTATAGTATAAATTATTCTGACCGCGTTATACTGAATGTTACCAGTCCTATATATCTTAGTCCACGGTCTTAGAAGATAAGGTCCGACGACTGTCCCCCTTCCGCTTATTATCTGGTATCCGCTTGTTGAGGCAGTTTTAGTTCCTATTTAACTTACTAGCGCTGCAGATTATACTTATTTGAGGTTATGTATTTAATTATTAAAAACGATCATGTCATGTCCGGGCCGGCAGGCGGCATGTCGTAGTGCTAGTCAAATAGTCGATTTACATCTAATGTCTATGAACAGTATGAACCGACCAGTTTACTGTGAAATGTAATAATTAAATGTAATAATTTTAATAATTAATATATTGAATAACGTGAACATTTGAAAATATTAAAATAATAAAATATGCCATAAATACTGATACAGTTGTTTCTTATTATAAATAGGTACGTATTTGTACCACTCACCATGGTGTTTTAGGTTTTACAAAACTTTGCGACTTTTTTTTATTTCTGTTTTCTGTTTTTGTTTGCCGCAATAACTGATTTAAATAAACACGGTTGTACTTCGACGGTTTTAATTGCTGGATGTTATCATATGATGAAAATAAGTAATCAATATTATAAGTGGACTGTATAAATATAATGCAAATATAACTTAATACAATATATTGTAAATTATCTTACACGAAAGAGTCTTAAAGCTATGTTAGTCCTAGCACAACATAAGTAATACGTATAATAATAATAATAATAATAAAATAATAATAATAACAAAATCACGAACGTGATACTAACAAATATAAAATAATATAATAATAAAATGACAAACGTGATATTGACAAATATGAAACAATATATAATAATAAATGTACAATACGTCTGACCTGGTCGTGGAAGGATGAAACGGCTCCAGCCGTTAATCGAATGATTAGTAATCGAGACATTTTCATAATCGAGAGAATCTCTCGAAAAATCACTCGAAATTAAAATCGTTTTTTCATATGATAAGAATCGACTATTATTACTTATCGAGATAATCGAAATATCACTCGAAATATGAATAAACTTATAGTAAATAATTATTAGTTAAATGTTGCTTTTTTTTTATTTGCTGGTATAATATTAATTAAAAATTAGACTATAATTTAGGAATAATAATAAGTAATAACCATGATATAATCATGATAATGCATTATTAATAGGTGCTTTAAATAAAAGACAAGTTTTTTTTTATTTAATAATTATTATCTAAATTTTAAATAAATCTCTTGTTTTAAAATACTGTAAATTCTTAATTATGAAAAACCTCTATAATACTTTTTTTATATATTTTAAATGAAACATTATAAATATATTACACATGTGTATAGCTACCAAACCCAGCAAATGTTGACAACGCATTTTAAGTTTCAAATAAAATTTATTAAATATCCTCCAAATTAAAAATAATAGTAAACTAATAAAATAACTTTATAACAGCTCGTAATAATAAGTATATAAATAATTAATATTTAATGAACAAAACAAGACAAAATGTAAAAATGAACAAAAAAATTTAAAACAAATTTAAATTACTATTTAAAAATATAATGTAATCTAAATTTTTAGGTGATAGCCGATTTCTACGATCATTGGTGATCAGTCCTGTTTTTGAAAAAACCCGTTCAGACGGAACAGATGTTGCTGGAATATATAAATACTTCAGCAGCATATTATACAAATCTGGAAACGTGTTTTTATACTGTTTCCAAAATTCTAATGGGTTTTTTTTACGGTCTAAAAGTGTCATTTCTAAATATTGACGTATTATCAAAGAAGAAGTTATATTTGGATTTGATGTAGTTTTGACTTGAGCGACTTTATTATCAAAATGCTCCCATAGTGATTCAGTTGTATTTATATTAGTACTATTTAACGTGAGTTCTATGGTAGATTCAGTTGTATTAATTACGTTTTCCATTTCAGTATTTGTGCTGATCATCATTGTCAATTCTTCGCTTACCCATTTTTGCGCATTACTAGCGTTTTCAAGTAAACCAAACGCAATTTTTTTGAACCGCGGGTCTAAGAATGTTGCTTTTGCAACAATTTTATTCTTTTCTAAAATGCCCAATCGTCTACTGACTATATCCATCAACATATTTCTAAATACGTCCCCAACATCAGTTTCTGTTTGTAAGTTCCTTAAAATATGTTGAAGACCTCTAATAAGTGGTATAACTACACTTAATGTTGGGTACTTTTCACCTGATAATTCCGCTGTCATTATTTGAAATGGCTTTAAAATATGAGTACAATCTAATATTATCTCCCACTCGGACGCATTTAAATAATTTGGTGCTCGAGGTAGAGTTGACATAGTAGCAGATAAAGGGGCTTTAATGTTTACAAGTCTTTCCATCATTATAAAACTAGAATTCCACCTTGTAGGCACATCTTGCTTAACTTTTAATGAAGGTAAGTTCATTTGCAATTGAAAATCTTTGAGTTTTTCAGTAGCGTTGCTGCTGTGCTTGAAATGCCCTACTATCGTCCTACATTTTTTTTAAATTTGATTTATATCAGAGTTTTCATTTATTGCCTCATTTATACTCAAGTTTAGTGTGTGTGCCACTCATGGGTGATGGTGTTTACGAAGATGTTCGTTTATTGCGTTTTTAATATTTGACCCATTGTCTGATACCACAGTTAATATTTTATTTGCTATATTCCACTCATTAAAAATATTTATAAGTGTAGCGGCTATATTTTGACCAGTGTGTCTGTCAGAAACGTCTTTAGTTGCAATTACTGGTGAATATAATTGGTCGTCAAAAATAAAATGGCACGTCACTGTTATATATGATTTATTGGAATCGGATGTCCACATATCTGTCGTTATTGATAAATCATTTACATTTAGAAGAATAGATTTTATTTTAAGGAGTATAGCATTATATAGCAATAAATCCAACGTTTTCTACTAACGAGAGTGGTTGATAATCAGCGACAATCATTTTAATTAAAGATTTATTAATAGCCTTAATTTCAGAATCACTAAGTTCATTTATTTTTGTCGAACCGTATAATATATACGTGTAAAATAACACGGTACGTAACAATATATAATATAATTTAATTTATAGGAATACAAATTAAAAA